CCCCAAATTTATCTGCAGCTAATCATGGGCAATCGTTCTCTAAATGATTGTGAGTTACCTGGAGACCCTAAGCATGGCATTTCTGAGGGCTTCTTCAATTCCTTACAATTTCATGGGAACTCTGCTTTCTAGGATTCCTGGTGTGGGATATTTCAATGAAGTCCTCCAATTTATGGGATCATCTAAGGAATAAGTCCCTTTGATTCATCTAGTATTTACAAGAGAGAGGAAAACTATGATGTCATTGTTTCTGATGTCACATCTTTGGCTATGGCACCAAGGCTGCTGGCATTTACCCTTCTTTAGATGAAATTTCTGCAAACCTGCCTTGCATTGCCCCCAAAATTGGACAAAAGTTTCTAGCTTTCCTGGGGCTATTCATTCTTTTCAAGCACATTTTCCATAAAAAGCAACCATCGTTCAACCACTTAAGTGCCCACTGAGGAAAGGTCTTCCTTGGTGTTGGATCTACCAGTGAGTATCTGCCTCCCAGAATGTCAAGCAGTTATTGACTTCTTGGTCTGTGCTAGCACATTGCAATGTTCCGTTTCTTATACTGACACTACACCTAGCGTGTCAGAGCTGTGCTTATCCACAAAACGCAAGGTGGCCCTGAGGCTCCAATTACTCACTACTCAAGAACAATGTCATTGCAGGAAGGAACAAAGCACAAACTGACAAAAAGCCCCTAGTCTGTGATCACAAGTCAAGTTGCTCCATGACTATCTGTGCAGGGCTGTCTCTACAAACTGTACCTGCCAAAAGACTCCTGGGGGATTTATTTCTGATGATGGGCCACCCTCCCCCATGAAGGAGACTGGTGTTCAGCGCTTGGAACTAAAAATCAAATGTTTACCGAGTGCAGGTATGCAGAGCTGAATCATGCCCTGAACTACCTTTCTGCTCATTGCAGATCAGGCTATGCCAGCTCCATGGAATGTTATCACCCTGATTCATCCTTTCATTCATTCAATGCATATTTGAGTGTCTGTCTCTGGGAAGACCACAGAGAAAAAGCCTAGGGTGGCTTATATTCCAGCGGGGTGACACAAATGATAAATGAATGAATAAATATGTCATGTAGCAACAAATGATAAGGAAGAAAATAAGGAAGCTGGATCAGAGGATAGAGAATGATGAGGTCAGGGTTTTATTTCTTGCAGAGTGCTTGGGAAAGCCTTTTTCAATATGATGGCATCTAGGCGGAGACCTGAAGGCCATGCAGATACCTGAAGGGAAGTGTCAGGCAGAGGAAGCAGCAAGGGCAGATGTCTGTGGGCTGGAGTCCTTTGGTGAGTTTGATGAATGACAAGGGGAAAACGAGGCAGGAGCTGAGTAAGCTGGAGGCAGAGAGGCGAGACATGAGCCCTGGACATAGAAAAGTGCCAGACCTCATAGGGCACTGAATATAGCTTCCAAACAACCTCTGGCCCCCACTCTTGCTCTCCCCCATTCCGTGCTCCATGGCTACTAAATTGAGCTCCATAATATGACCCACTTGCCTTCCTATATAACACCCTCAAAGGTTTCCATTCACTTGCAAGATCAAGCTCAGGCTCCTTAAGGTGGGCTGCAAATGCCCCCCAGTCCCTCTCCAGACCCCACTTTGGAATTTACACCCCCACAAAACCAAGTTACTTGGATGTGCCCTGCCTGCAGGCCGCTTCTCTTCTTCCCACCACCGTTCATGGGTCCTCCTCCACCTGGAAGGCAGATGCCCAGCTGGTTCAGCCAGTGACTTAAGAATCAAAAGCTTAATGTCCATTTGAGGTTAATCACTGGGCTGCATCAGGCAAACAAGGAGAGATCTACCATAGGAGTTGACAAGAGGCATACCAAGTATTAGCTCCAAGGATAGTCCAAGCATCTGAAATCAAGGCAAGAAAAAGCAGGTGCTCAGGCTACAGGAATGGGTTGATTCTATCAGGTGGCATTGCTTAGGATGTGAACCAGTATTGAGTGAGCAGAGGCTTCTCATAGAAGACGCACAACGTGTCACACAGCATACAAAATGCTCTGTGTATACATTTTCTCTAACCTGCACCACAAGAATTATACAGGTGAGGACATTGAGGTTGCACAGACCATAAGAGGCAGACTTGGAGGCCGGATCCCAGTGTATATGTCCCCACAGCCCACACACTCCTGCGTCACACCTTCCACAATCAGACATGGAAGTGACTGCGGCATCATGGGCTAAGTCCCAATGGCCTTTGCATCTACTGAATAGAGCCACAGCACCCATGTACCCACTTGAAGGGGTACCACTGGGGAAGGGCTCAGTCTCCCTGTGTTCAGTTCTTGGCTCCACACAGGTTAGCTCATGGACTCTCTGTGCCTCTATTGTCTCATCTATAAAATGACCGTGATTAACATTTTTAAAAATATTTATTTATTTTTGGGGGCACCTGGGTGGCTCAGTCGGTTAAGCATCAGACTTCAGCTCAGGTCCTGATCTCATGGTTCGTGGGTTCGAGCCCCGCATCAGGCTCTGTGCTGACAGCTAGCTCAGAGCCTGGAGCCTGCTTCGGATTCTGTGTCTCCTTCTCTCTCTGACTGTCCCCTGCTCGCACTGTCTCTCTCTCTCTCTCTCTCAGAAATAAATAAAAACATTTTAAAAAATATTTATTTATTTTTGAGAGAGAAAGACAGAGCATGAGCAAGGAAGGGACAGAGAGGGAGGGAGACACAGAATCCAAAGCAGGCTCCAGGCTCTGAGCTGTTAGCACAGAGCCTGGCACAGGGCTCGAACCCACAAGCCACGAGATCATGACTTGAGCCGAAGTTGGACGCCCAACTGACCGAGCCACCCAGGCACCCCTATAAAATGGCTATTATTAATAGTACCTACATCCTAGGCATGTAAGGATTAGAGCTACTTCGCATAAAGCACTTAGACTGTGCATGTCAGCTCAGGTTGCTACAGCAAAATACCACAGGCCTGGGGCTTAAAGATCAGACATGTACCTCTCACATGATCTGGAGACTGGGAGTCGTCCAAGGTCAGGGTGCTAGTAAAGTCAAGTTCCAGTGAAAGCAGTCTTCCCAGCTTGTAGATGGCCTCCTTCTCGCTCTGTCCTTCCCTGGCAGAAAGAGGAGGCCCTGGTCTCTTCCCCTGGTTGTAAGAGCACTAATCCCAGCACAACACTGCACCCTCGTGACCTCATCTAAACTTCATTACCTCTCAAAAGGCCCATCTCCAAGTACATCACACCGGGGGCGAGAGTTTCAGCAGATGCATTTTGGAGGGATACGCACATTTAGCCCTCAGCTGGTGCATATTCAGAGCTCGATAAATGTTAGCTACACTTGCAAGACATCAAGGTTGTACGAAAGCCTTCTTCCAGTCCACTTTGCTGCTCCAAGGCCATGACACAGCAGGGCAAGAAGTGACCCGCATGCCAGAAGGCCTTTGTTTCGCTTTTGCCTGGAGAGCTATTTTCCGGGAAGCCGGTCCACCATGTTTTATAACCCTAAAGGACGCTTCTTTTAAGAAACTGCTCCTTCCTTACCTACTTCCTTTCCTGCTGCTCCTCTGCTTAGCCACTGAGGTTCTCTCCGGTCGGGTGCATTTCCTCCTCACCACGTACACCCCAAACCTCAGAGCCCTGGCAGCCCTGGTGGATTTTATCATCATCATAACTCTCTGGAAGAGCTGTTGTTAACGCTACAGCTAGTAGTGCAAAACCAGTACTTTTGTGTCGACTGCAATATATTCATAAATTTCTACCGGCATTTATTGAGTGCCTACTGTGTGTGTCTCATGGATGCTTACTGAACTTCCTATCTCTACCACCATCACTGCAAACACACCTCATTAGCATCGCTGGATACAAGCGGCCCCATAATTCTAAAAGAGAGGGATTGCTCCTTCCTAATCCAGCCCAGTGACCTCTGTAGCAGACCCCCCCCCCCACCAGCCTGGAGACACTCTTTTTTTTTTTTTTTTTTTTTTTTTTTTTTTTTTTTTTTTTTTTTAATTTTTTAAATGTTTTATTTATTTCTAGGAGAGAGAGAGAGAGTCAGCGTGAGCAGGGGAGGGTCAGAGAGAGAGGGAGTCACAGACTGAAACAGGCTCCAGGCTCCGAGCTGGCAGTCAGCACAGAGCCCGACGCGGGGCCCGAACCCACGAACCGCGAGATCATGACCTAAGCGAAAGTCAGACGCTTAACCGACTAAGCCACTCAGGCGCCCTCCGGAGACACTCTTAAGCGACAACACCCCCCACCCCCCTCAGCACCCCCTTTCAGGTTGGTAACCATTCTGTATCGCTGTCCCCATCCCCACCTGTTGGATTTTCCTGTATCTCTAAGAGTTTTCTTCTCTCTTGAACACTCCCCTTCACCCTCCATCTGTGCATACGCCCTGCTCCCTCCCCGCCACAGCCCGCCCCTCAGTCTACAGAACAAGTATTTCAATATCCGAGGCAGGCCCGGCTCCCAGACAGGTGGCCTCGGAACTCCAGGTTCACAGGTATGTCACTGACGTATCTGCTCCAAAGACAAGTATCCGGCAAATAGAGAAGACATTTGAAGTCATGACTCTACCCTTCATTAGTATCTCATTTCCACTTTGGAAGCAGCGACAAGGCAGGGTCTGGGCGCCCAGATAGCGAGCCATTGTTCTCCACGCCTCTGGCAATTTCCATCAAGCTGGTTTCAAGTGGGTGTGCATTTTGTCTTGGCTATTGCCAAGGCACCACAGGGCTCTTGGGCGTACCCAATAGGTGTGCAGGAGCGCTTCCCCGCATGCGGGGGCCTGCAACCTCCCCATCAGTTTCCCCAGGCTCACTTCACCGTGGTATTAAAGGACCACAAAGAATTTCTAAGTCAGTCTATTCCTTTGTTGTTATTATTAGTTGTAATGTACTGAAAGGGACAAACAATGCGGCTGTTCTTTGCCACTCTACAAGCAGAGATTTCTTTTTTAGAATTTTCCTTTTTGTCATTGTGTTGAAAGAACTCAAGAAAGACTAATTACTCTCTTTTCTCTTTAAAAAAAAAGAGAGAGAGAGAGAGAGCGCTGGATATGAGGGTGAGCCTGGGTGACCCGCTTCGGGTTGGTGGCTTTGTGTCTCTCAGCTTGGAGGTGATTGCATCATCTTTTGGGTCCTTGCGTTTGTCTTTGGAAAATTGTGAGCATCACCCCCAGCATTCATGCCCACGGTGGCAACAAAGTCTCTAGTCAATAGCATTAGATGCCCATCCAGATGATGGCGCTGCTGAGGAATGTCACGGTGGTGCTGGGGTCCTGTCTTGCTTCCTGTGCTGTGGAAACAAACATCCTTCTGCCATTTCCCTCCTCCCCATCCCCCATCGCTTGGGTCCACAAATTGTTCCGGTGAGCCCAGGAATAGCACATTCCATTCCCAATGCCACTCAGAGGCTTATATGAACCACTCATTTTGTTTCTGCTTGAGGCCCTCTGCCCCAGCCCTGAGGAGCCATGGGGAGCAGCCTAGAAAACCAGCTTCCGTATGCAGATGGCCTTGAGCCAACCCAGTTCCCAGCCCAACCTCTCCTCTGTCCCTGTCCTTCCCAAGAGGCACCCGGCCAAGTGGGGGGTTCACTCAGACACTCTCCAGCTCGTCTCCCCATCACATGATACACTCATAAGTACCCGGGGCCGTCTGCTTGCAAGTACCTAATCCTAGCCCAAGGCCCCATGGAAAAATGATGAATCCTTAAAAGGTCAAGCATGGAAAAGAAAGTTCTTAGATGGAAGGGCAGAGAATGTAGAGCGGTGACAATGCTAGGGATTTTAAATAATTGGATCTGATTAGAGCCCCGGAAGTATTAGTGAAGAATATAGTCCCACCCACCCCTCCTGGTCCCTCTGGCCAGGCCTGGAGCCAGAGCCCTGGGGGTCGGGAGACCTAGCATGCCAGCTCCAGCTTTTCTGTGAGCAAGCTGTGCAAATTTGGGCCAGTACATCCCTCTCTGAGCCTTGCAAAAGGAGGGGGTTGCACCAGATTACCTTCAGGGTCCCTTCCAGCCGTGTGATTTTATAAAGGAAAAAAAAAAAAGCCTTTACTTTGAAGAGCTCTGAGACATGACAGAAGGACATGTCCAAGGGAGACAGTTAAATTCCAAAGGAGACAGTAAGAATTTTTGAGGACTAGGGAAAAGTATCAATCGTAGGTAAGGAATAGCAGGTGACATCCTAAAGAGATGGGCAAGGACATGACCTGAGGCTCAGCACGGAACGTGGGCCGGGGCCAGAGACTCTCCCCTGCAACTTTGAACTAAGATCAGATATTTCCTACAAAACAGGCCACGGAGTGACATCTGGGGACCAGGGGACCTGGTCACCGCTTTTGCTAATGATGGGAACACAAAGATAGTTTCCCAGCCAGTGTTTCACTGCTCTGGGAGCAGAAGGGCTATAACCCACCCACCTCTGAGCAGCAAAAATGCTGAAGGGAGCCGGTAGCGGAACAAGAGAAGGAACGACCGATCGTTTGAAAAGAAACAGTAGATTAAAAACCACAAGCTACATCATCGGGGCCCAGATGGGCAAGTCAAGCCCACAAATATCGACGCCGGGACAGGCTGAGAAATCCATGCAGGAAGGCCAGGAAATCAGGAAGCGCACAGCCCCACCCCGGGTCTGCTCAAAGCCACAGGCTCACGACCATCTCTGCTAACGTGGCTCTTTCTAACGGGTGCGGCCTTCAAGGCCTCCTTTCTGGGACCCTCAGAGGCCTGTTAACACCATTTGCCAGCCAGAGGGTTCACAAAAATGTCTTAAGTGTTAAAACCCACACTTTCATGGTTTTCCTGCCCTGACAGCTTCAGAAACTTGGCCAGCTGGCTCAGCACCTCCTTCCTCTTCCATTCAGGCTCCCAAGAAAGGGGTCACCTGGCAGGCAATCAAGGAGCTACTTTTCAGGTTAAGGAGAGACCACCGGCCTCCCTGCCTCCCTGCAGCTGTCTAACCGATAGGGGGGTAGCAACCTGGCAGGTCAAAGTCCCAGCTAAAAGCTACGAGGTAGCACGTAGGCTTTCTGGGTCCAACCTCATTCCATCTTGGCAATTGAAAACTAGGCGGGGTCTCAGAGATCAATGCAATTCATGTCTTTTATGGTAAGAGGTATTCCGAAATCATGTTGCAGGGAAAGGAGGGAGCGGGAAACGGGATCTGCACAGGCTAAAATGCACAGAAGCTGAGCCGGTCCAACATACCCAGTAAGAGAGCCAGGTGGCTGGTCCTGGGTATTCATCTGCTAGGCAAAGAGCAGCACCTGGAAAAGTCAAGGAGTAAAGAGGAAGAGGTAGGTGGAGCCTGGTAGAGTGGGCGTGGCCACAGAGGGAGAGTCAATCTCAGAAGGGTACGGGTCCTTCCCTCCTCAAGCCACTTCCCAGCAAGATGCTTCCAGCTGAGTATGTGGCCCCAGAAAAAACTTGGATCCCCCTTTTCAAAGAGTCCTCCCTTGACGTGAGGCAGGTTGCCCACACCCATGAGTCCACAAGGAAAATGTGGGGCAGTGGGTGAAAGATAACAGATTTAGGGAAAGTTATAATTTGGGTATAAACACACACAGTGGGCAAACCAATGCTCTCTCAACTACCTCCAGGCTGTGGAGGTGATGTAGTCCTGAAGATGAGAGTCATGAAAATTTATTTATTAGCTATGATTAGGCTCAGCTGCATGTAATACAAAACCCAAACTAACGGTGGCTTAACCAAGATGGCAGCTTCTTTCTCCCCTTACTTCAAAGCGATGCAGAGATAAGGGGTCTGAGGATGGTAAGGAAACTCCATCGTTACTGGAACTCAGATGCCCTGTTTTTCTACTTCCCCCAGCCCCGTGGAGCCCCTTTCATTTCAAGGCTCCCTTTTGGTCCAACATGGCTACTGGAGCTCCAGCCATTACCTTCTAGGCAGGAGGGAGGGAGACGGTGGGAGGGGCATCAAAGGGAGGCAAGACCTTCCAGCTAAGCCAGCTTCCCTTGAGCTGCCTGCCCAGAAGTCCCAATAAACATAGCCACTCACATCCCATGAACAGAATCTGGTCCTGTGGCCATCCCTAGGTGCTTAGGATGCCAGGAAATAGGGGTGTCTGCTGGTTTCATGACGTCCCCCAATATAACAGGGGTTCTCTTACTATGGAAGGAAGGGTTACACCTATTGGACAGAATGACCAGTTTGGCTTCTCCTTAGGTCCTTTCTTCTCTGTGTTCAGGCTGTGCAGTTGTGACCTTGGTTTTCTACCTCTGTGAAAAGACCATCAGCCCATGCTCCTCACCTACTTCAGCGAGGAGGCATGATAATAAATTAATTAGAAAGGAAGGCAAGAAGGAAGGAAGTAGGGAAGGAAGTAGGGAAGGAAGTCAGAAAGGAAGGAAGGAAGTAGGGAAGGAAGTAGGGAAGGAAGGAAGGAAGGAAGGAAGGAAGGAAGGAAGGAAGGAAGGAAGGAAGGGAAAAGTCTCTAACTCACAGGAAGGAAAATAGGCTGGTTGGGGGCCAGGCACACACAGGAGTGCCGCTGGGCCAGACTGTCCCGCTCTGATGTCAGCTCTCCAGGGGACCCAGCTAATTATGGGTTCCTGCTGCAGAGCCTTTTGAAACATAAGACTTCTTTTGAGATGTGACTAATTACCCCCTACCTGACTTTAAGACCAGATTTTTACATCTGAAGCTTTTTCCAAATGAGCCTCAGCGCACTGCTGCCTGCCCCCGTGGACTAACATGGATGGATGGATGGATGGTGGAGGAGTGAGGCAGTCGGGAAAGGGAGAATCCACCCGGCTCTGATGCCCAGTGGGCCCAGCCTCCTCCTCTCCAAACCCCTGGCCTGAATTGCTAAGGAGTAGAACGGAGCTCCACCCTCTTCCTTCCCCACCCAGCGCTGGGGGAGTGTTGGTGAGGGCTGGAGGGATGCGGCTGGGAGCACAGGGGGCTGCGGGCCAGGAGGGTGGGAGGGAAATGTCACTGTCACCGAAGTGGGAAGGGGAGAGGGAGGGAGGAGGGAAGAGGAGCAAGATGGGGAGGAAGGGGGGAGGGGGGAGGAGGAGAGAGAGGGAGGAAGGTGGAGGAAGGGTAAGATGGGCGGGAGAATGATGGGGAGGAGGGAGAGGAAGAAAGGGAGGAGGCGGCGGCGGAGGAGGAAGAAGATGGAGAGGAAGGGGAAGAGGGAAGGGAAGAGGAGGAAGAACAGGAAGCAGCAGAGGAAGGGACCACAGGAGGCTCGAGTTTAGAAAGGCAAACCCCAGGTTCCCAGAGCCGCTCCATGCACAGGGTTTCATCCCCCTAAGAAGATGCCAGAAGAAGAAAGAAGGCAGGATGGTAGAAGGAGAGTGAGAATAATGAGGGTCACTGAAGACACTAACCTGTCTGGCTGTGTCTGCAAAGTCTGGCAGGATGGAAGACCCTTGACTGAGGCTAAAGAGTGCGTTGCTGCACCTGAGTGCCCCAGGCAGCGCCGTTCCTGAGCCTACGTGTCCGCAGAGCCTCCCTGTGGCCACAGTGAAATCGGGGGCAAATCCGGTGGCAGTTAGGCCTCGTGAAACACTGCTCAGCTAGAATTGCTTCCTGGAAGAGGGTGTATTTGAAGGGGATTTGTAGAGTGAACAGGAGTTCACTGGCTAGACAAGGAGGGAACGGCATTCCTATTACAGGCAACACTGTGTGTACAGCCCAGAGGTGACAAGTGGCCAGGGACGTTCGGGGAAGTGTAGCTGGTTGGGCCCGGCCAGGCTCGGGTTTGTAGGGGGAGAGTGGCCGGGAATGAAGCTGAACCAACGGCCAGGTACGTGGGCTTCAGTGGAAGGTAACCAGGAGCCACTGACAGGTGTCAGCAAGGGAGCACATTTTAGAGCGAGCCGTCCGGCTGCAGAGAGGGAAGCGGACTCAGGAGATGAAGCTTCGTGGCAGGAAGATCAGCCGAGGCACCACGGCGATGCCCTGAGCCCTGAGTGGCTGCGCTCTGCTGGGGCGCAAGGCAGAAGTTCCCCGCAGAGGGGGGCTGATGGGACTCGGTGACTGGCAGGTGTGGAGGAGTCGACAGTGACTCGTACGTTTCTGGCTTGGGTGACAGGGCCGATGGCGACCCCATTAACCCAGTAGGAAATAAGAAGGAAGCAGTCTGACAGAGGAGCAGTGAGTTTGCTTTCTGACATTTCAATTTTGAAGTGGCAGGAGCCTGCAGTTGGGGGCAGCCAGGGGGCCGTGGGATGTGCCAGGTGGGAGCTGCAGGTGCCGTGGTCCTCTGTGGGTATGTGTCCCTGGGACCTTCTCTCCGGTCACTTAAACCGTGGGCCTATGGTCTCTTCTCAGGCTCCAGTAATCCACCTGCATCTAGAACACCAGAGGTGAGCCCCTTGAGGAGGGCAGACTCTTCACTGGAAGGGAGCCCTTCTCCAGCAAGATGGTTCTAGAAGGCACAGACCCATGAATGAAGGGAGAGAGGGAAGAGACAGAGATGGGATGTGGGGAGGCAGTCAGAGGTGAGCACCTACAGGGATGGAGAGAGGGGCCAGGGAAGGAAGGGGGCAGAAAGGTGTCAAGTCCCGGGCTCACCAACAGGCTGGGCCGATGGAGGAACGATCCAAACTCTGGACTGAGCCCTTCAGAAGCAGCCCTGCCTTTCTTCCGGTTCCCTGGGGAGCACGTGAGGTCCTGCAGCTTCCTCGTGTCTGTTGGCTGATACCCAGTCCCGGCCGTGGGCTCCTTGGATCCCCTGGGTGGCTGGGCCGCAAGCCCCCTCCCCACCCTCCAGCAGGGCCACCTTCACATCCTGAGACAGAGACCTGCTGGTGGGTAACCCTGGCCGGGCAGGTTCCTCCTGCCTCAGGGCTGGAGAGTGGAAATTGGATTAGCCTCATTGGACTCGATCCCTGACTGTGCTGGGAAATTGCAAGGCTATTTATTCCCCTCTCCTCGAACTCCGGGTGCAGAGTGATAAGTGCACTTTGACGGGCACCACCAAAGTCAAGAGGCCTCCTTTTGACCCTGGTCGCAAGGCTTGGGGACCAGACAGTGCTTTGGAGACGACCAGTGGCTGCGTGTGAGTCTGGGATCAGCAGCACAAAGCAGGCAATGCCATCCGGATGAGACTGGAAGGGAGGGCGGGTCACATGGACACTTCCTGAGTAATGGGGGGTGGGGTGGGGGGTTGATCCCTGGTGGAGAAAGGGGAGACGGAAACGAAGGCCGTCTGATGAGAAGCGAAAGAGAGAAAGACCGCTTCCCCGCTTACCAGCATCTTCCTTGCCATTGCCCACGGACCAATTATTCCATCAAGTCAGATATTAGAGACTCCAACTTCATTAGGGCTTCGAGGCGCACGAAAGGTGAATCATGGAAAGCTTTCTCTTCTGCAGGAGACTTTCTCTGGGAAGGAAAAAAAAACACACTTTCATTTTCCTTTGAGGTTAATAGAAGGCTAATTTGAAAGCACTCGGTTAATGAGAAAGCTAAAAATACCTCTTGTAGAATCACATGCCTCGGTCCGGCCTCGGCAGCCCCAGACGCTCTGGAGCACGAAGCCGACGTCGGGAGGGCAAAGCAGCAGTTCCGAGCTTGGAGGACCCGCACCCACCCCGCACCTGCGTCCCCGGACGGACGGGGCAGGGCAGGTCTGGGCGGGGGTTGCCAGGCTGGCTGGTGCAGGGGAGGGAGCGGGCGGGGAGGAAGAGACAGTCATGCTCCGCATGTGCCATGATGACATCTCACGGCTGCTGCGGGGGTTTCCCGGGGGTAGGGGGTGGGGAGTGGGGATGGATTCACCAGCCCCGCAGGGCCCTGCCCTGCCCAAGGGGGGCTCACCTTATGGGAGGACAGGGTGGTCCCCCAGCTGAAGGACCTGGACAGCCCTGGGAGGTGATCACAGCAGCCCACCAAGGGACTGAAGCCAGAAAAGCAAGAAAGGTGTGGCCTGGAGCAGATGAGAAACCCAATTCAGTCTCTGGGATTCTGAGTGTGTGTGTGTGTGTGTGTGTGTGTGTGTGTGTGTGTGTGTGCACGCGCGCGCACGCTCGCATGCGTGCACTAGCAGCCGCAGACACTGTTCACAAGAGGAAAGGGAGGTCCTAGGGGTATGAGAATGGGATCTGGGATCCAGCAAAGGAGCCACCAGGAGCTGTCTCTTCCAGCCGCCCCGCGTCACACGAGTCCAGGCGCGCGGATGTGAGTTTAAAGCTGGCAGCGCAAGAGGCTCCCACCATGTTGCCGCAGACCCGGGGCTCCAGACTCTCCGTGGGCTTTGGAGCGGGTCCAGGGCTCATGAGACGCAGCAGTGCCCTTTCCTGTGCAGCCCAGGCCTTCCAGGAAAATGAAGAGAATGGAATAAGCAAGGGAAGGGGCGCCTGGGGGGCTCAGTCCATTAAGCGTCTGACTTCGGCTCAGGACATGATCTCACAGTTTGTGAGTTTGAGCCCCTCATCAGGCTCTGTGCTGACAGCTTGGAACGTGGAGCCTGCTTCAGATTCTGTGTCTCCCTCTCTCTCTGCCCCTCCCATGCTTGCTCTCTGTCTCTCTCTCAAAAAATAAAGAAATAAACAATAAAAAGTTTGTAAGAAAATAAGAGGAATAGGGAAGGAAAGGTGGAGGGGAAGAAAGGGGCCTGTGCTCTGCTCCCCAACCATGGGGATGTGCACGTTCTGCCCAGAGCAGGCTCCTCCGAGGGCCTGGGCTTTGGGGGTGGGTGGCCCCCTTCCTCGGTGGTGGAGCCAGCCCTCCTCTCCCCCACCCGCACCCCAGGGCAGCCCCCATCCCGCTGCTGAAAGATGCATCCTTTCTGCCCCCTCTGGCCTTTGCCAGTGACACACATATTTCTGCCATTTCAAGAAGGCCATTGCTGGATGCTTGGAGTGTGAGGGACAGGTACCAGACTCCTCCCTGCCTCCTGCACCCCTCCATCTGGCCCTGGCCGAGACAGAGAGACACAGGGCCAGTGAAGCCACAGCAGGAGGAAGGCGGCCATGGACATCTTTCTTCTGAATCCCTCTGCCCTGGGCTCCAAGGACAAAGAACCGAGGCCCATTCACGAATCCACGAAACCGGGCTTTATCAAGGCCTGTGGAGCTCCGACAAGGAACATCCCCGCCCACGAGGAAAGCACACAAGTGGCTCATTTGCATAGAAGATAAATATTAAACAAACACACTCAACCCACTTCCTGAGGGTCTCCACTTGTTACAGGGATGGGAAATGGCTTTACGCGTCCCTACAACTCCCTCTTACCTCTGTCGAACCCCCCTTGCCTACTCCCTTAAAGACATTTGGCCAAATTATACATATTTCAGCCCTCGCCCAGTCATTACAATAGTCTCATCCCAGCACTTACTGTGGTTCATGTTACAACTTCAATGTCTGTGAAATTCAGAGCTCTGGTCATCCCCGCCTGTCGCTGTCCTCAGCAGGACAGACTTGGCCATGGTTGTGCAAGTGTGGGGTGAGGCTCAAGGTCCGCTCATCAGCCCCTCCCCCTCACTTTCCTGCCTGAATGGTGTCGTCTTGCTGGTGGCCTTTATAGGTCTGATCCCTGGCCCCGCTGTTAGGGTGATGAGCATATGGACGGGGGGGGGGGGGGGGTCTCTCCACAGCATCCTTCCTTGATCTGGGACGCCTGGCTCCTGCTTCTGCCCCTCCCCCACCTTCCCACTCTCACCTAATGGGAGACCTTCTTGGAAAGTGGGGAGATCTGCAAAATGGCTGAAGCCTAGCTTCCGTGGGCTTCACTCCGTCCGAGGCAGGGGTACATAGCCTTGCCCACCAATGGTGGGAGTGCAGACAGCAAGCATCCTGGCTGTCCCTGGGGGACTGAGCTGCTTGAACCAGCCCTGCCTGTCACCATCCTGCTCAGGAGGAAGAGGCCACCAGAAAATCTGCTGGGTACACTAATGGCCAAATAGGGAGCCACCCACGTGGCTCCTCCAGGAAGGGAGGGCACAGCCTTCCCCGACAAACTCTGCACTTAAGCGAGATCAGCTTCCTTCATCCTTTGGCTGGTTTGGAGTGGGGGTAGGCTGCCAACTGCTATCACCTAAGGAGTGGCGGCTGCGTTCCAGGCTCCTGCACTCACTGATTTAATGTCGCTTCAACCTGTGACCTGAGTACTACTGACATCTTCCTTTGAAAGGGGAAGACACTGAGGCACAGGGAGACGGGACAGCACATCCAAGGTCACACTGGGAGCACCAGGGGCTGGATCCAGATTCTCCCAGGCTAGTTCTGCAGCCCCTCTTGAGCTCCGGGGGGAGGGGGGACGGGGGAGGGGCGGCGGCGGGAGGGCGGGGGTTGGGCAGCTCTCTGAATGTGAAACCAGGTCTACTGGGCGCATTTCCCCTCCTTGGGGTACAGGTTTGTCCAAAGCAAGGGACGCTGCAAGCAAAGTTGTAAAGCAGAGTCAGGGCAATACTGCAGACTGGGCCCAAGAGGAAGTAGTTGGCCAGGTGGCACGGCCACTCAGAGGCTCCTGGGCCACCTCTGAGCCCTTGCCTGGTGTCCTGCAGGCCACCCAGACCAACATCTTTTAGGCAGTAGAGAGGGAAGTTGGAGAGGGAGGCAGGACGGGTGGGCTTGCCCCAGTGTGTGGCGGGGGGTCTGGTGGGGTGGGGGGCTCCTAAACTGCCTGGGAACAGCTGTGCGACAGCCTCCAGACCAGCAAAGGAAAGGCGGCTGGGTCTCCCCGCCCCACGCCGTCCTTCGTAATCCCATCCGTCTGGGGAATACATTACGCCACGGAACATAACTCTGTGATGTGCGGCTAATGTCCTGTGGACAGTTATACAGCAGCCTCACCGCAGAGTCAGCGACGGAGGGGAACGCCACCTCCTCCCGCCGTCCTCCCAGAGATGGAGCGCCCCGCCCGCTGTGTCGCCGCCTCCCAGGAAAGGAGGAAGGGGCCTGGCCCTGGAGCACCGGCTCGGCTCGGGGGCCACCGACCTCATGGCCCTCAGATCTGGGCCACGGGGGCAGCAAGCCCAGGGCCTGCGGGCCCGTGGGTGCAATCCTGATTCTGAGCCCGTTCTAACAGCTCCTGTTTCCTAATGGCCTGGCAGCTGTCTCCCCATTTAACCTTCAGAACAAGCCCCCAGGGAGGGCGTTGTCCCCATTAGGCGGCTGAAAAAAACAGGCCCACACAACCTGAGTGCTCGCACCTCAGAACGGGAGTTCTAACTGCTCTGATTCATTCCGAAGCTCTCTACCCCTCTGCCAGGGCGGAGCGCCAATCCGCAGGTTCCCTGCACCCCCATTTCCTCACCTGCAAAAGGGCAGCATTAGTTCGCATTTGCCGCAGCTTTGAGACGCCTTAGTATTGACAGAGGGCCTGGCAGGGTGTTTGCACGTGATTGTATTAGTTTGGGGTTTTCCAGAACACCAGCACCAACAGATATGAGTATATTTAGAGGGAGAGAGAGATTTAACCTGGTAGAGTAAGGCAGCAGACTGGAGACTCAGGGAATAAACACAATTTGAGTCCAATGGCCGTCTGTCGGCAGAATTCCCTCTTTCTCAAGGAAGGCCAGTCTTTGTTCTATTCGGGCCTTCGCCTGATGGGGCATGACCCTCCCACATTAGGGAGGGCAATCGGCTTTACCCAAACTCCACCCATCTGAATGTTAATCTCATCCAAAATACACCCCCACAGAAACATCCAGAATGACTGGCCAAATATCTAGGCCCCGCGGCCCCGCCAAGGGGACACATAAAATTGACCATTATAACGGCAGGACAGAGGAGCTGCCCCCTGATCTCAGCACCCATGGGTCTCCGCCATGGAATACAACACCATGGCTGGCGTTTGTATGTATGTGGTGTCCCCATGGGAATGAGGGTGAGCACGTGAGCATGTGGGCACCAACACCACTATAAATGCACAGGATATCCCTGGTGGGGGGGGTGGGGGGGGTTGTGAGCCAAAGCTGTGCCCAGACCCTGGGACCACAGAGGCTGCTTCACTGACCCACGAGGACCAGGGGGAGAGCAGTAAGAGGGGGCAGTCAGAATGGCCGTGACCCTAGATAGAGAGCGGTGCACCTCACTGAGATTCAGTTCAGCCTCAGCGAAGCCGGAAGAGTGAGCCCAGCTGCAGCCACAGCCGGGAGTGTGCAAGGCACTCATGGATGTAAAGCACCTCGCTGGGCCCAGCCAGGCACACGGTAAACAGAAGCTCCTTCCCTCCCCAACCTTGCTGAAGAGAGAGAAGAGCACGTCCGAAGCAGAGCAGAAACTTAATTAGGATTGGAAAAATGTGAATTCCAAGGCTTATTAAATTCATGATATTTTTACTTACCATGTATCCAGAAATATATTTAGCAAAGCAATTTACACCATCATTGGCTGATGGATGGTGGTTTTCCAAGCTGAGTTTGAAGATGTAAATGGGCTCCAATCAGGGCCTGGCCGGGAGATGATGCTTCCCTCCATACGGCCCCGGTCTTCTGGGCCCCAGCACCACCTGGCCAGTCCCCCGGGATGGACGGATTTCCCTGCTCCCCCCACCCTCCACAGAGGCCGGCTGGGAGAGCGACGGGGCAAGCAACGAGAGGCGTTG